AAAACTATTTTTTTCTCAGAGAATTCTTAATATCCTTAACTTTTTTCGATAAGTTTACTTTAATTAAATGAAATTGTTAGTTAATGAAATTTACTGTTCCTAAATATAACATATGTTTAAAAAAAATCTAAAATTTTTTTTTCTAATGGTGTTAAAAATTAATAGTACATTAAAAAACAAAAATTTTGGCGCATATTTGAGCTCTTAATATTAATATTAACGTTTGCCTCAATTCATTTGTTGTTTTTCCATTTCTATAACACGGGAATTTTTATTTTTTAAATTTTGAATTCTTATAACTTTGGAATGGTTTGTTTTCGCAACACCCAAGCTGGAGGAGTTATAGACAATTTCACGCTCTACAAAAAACATCTTAAGGTCAAAGTTCTTCAGGTCAACCGTTTCAAAGATATCAACGATCAAAAATAACACTAATAAAAAATTTCAAATATTTTCATATATTATATCACAAGAACTATGAATTTAATCGGTTAAACTAGGCTCAGTAGTTTTTTGTTTGGTTTTTGTTGGAAAATGTTGAATGCAAAATAATTTAATAAAATCACGAGACCGCGTAGCATGAAACTATTTTCCAAAGAGAAAAATCAAATAAAAAACTTACTGAGCATAGTTTGACAGATTAAATTTTTAGGTTGTGTGATATACGTCTAGATTATTTCTCGAATTAAAGGAAACTATTTGACAATTCATAAAATCTGACGTATGTTTCAAAATTTATAATTATTTTTTTAAAGAAAATTCCATTAATTTAAGGTATGTAAGTAATAACTAATAATTGATATTTCGTAAACTAGATAACTTATTTTTTATTGTTTTTTAAAAAATGTTTGTTAAAACTTGTAAATAACACCATAAAATCGTAAACAAAAATCCAATATGAAGGCTAAAATTTAATCGCTGTTAAATAGTTCTAGTGATTTAATCGCTTATTTAAACAAAATTTATTCGAAAATTCAAGGCTTTTGATTGGTTCATATTATAATGAGGGAAATAATCAAATAAAATACAAAAAAATATCATATACCATATTTATATTATTTTTTATGTAAAATCACTTTAATTGTTGGTGTAAGTGATTCGCCGATTTCATTATGCACCGTAATTTGTACCAATCATAAAATTCGATTTATGTCAGACAGTTCTAACCTCACTTTCTACTTTTAATAATTTGACAGCAGACTTTCAAAATGCGTTTTGTTTAAAAATTCAACAAGATGGCTTTCTATAATCTGTGCTAGAAACTAAGGCGCATCTTCAAACGGTACCATGTTCATTCTAAACGCGTCTAGACCTATGTAAATCCGGCGAAAGTTTCCCTGGACATTTTGTCCCATACTTATCATAGACTATCAAAACGCGTGTTGTCTTTTTCTACGCCAGTGTTGGAAAAGTACTGGCTCCTGGGAGCTTAATTTTCAAATTAGAAATTAAAAAAGTACGTAAATTAGGGGTGAAGCTGTTTACAATTTGAAAGCAGTTTTGAAATCTTTAAATAAAATTGGTGGAATGGGCTGTTTTTTTAAATAAATTTTTAAAAAAATATGAAAGTCCTCACACTGTCCCTCAACATCTAAAAACGGCCATAAAAGTGACTCCCAAATTTCACTATAGGATTTTGTTAAGAACCGTTTCCTCAATATATTGTGAAAAAAACCTAAATCTCAGCTGATCGTTTTCTCAAGAAAAATTGATCTTCAATTTTTTTTACTTGTATAATGTATATATATGTATATATATATATGTATATTATAATATACATATACATTGTATATCCCAATATACATAATATACATATACATTGTATATTCTTTTTCATAAAAGAGCAAGATTATTTGTATCAGTAAGTCATTTCAAAAACATAAATTATATAGATAAAAATGTATTTTTGAACAACTTAAATCTAAACAATAATTTTACCTAATGACAAAAATTTAAACTACCTACCTAGTTAAGTGAACAAAAATGTAACAAATATGTATAATAAAGTATTTAAAAAAAGTAAAGAAATACCAGTTTTACAAATGCCTTGAAGAAAATTCTACTACACATTTTAAGAGGTTTCTACCATATCGGGGATCATCAAGATCGTTTAATTTATATTTAGACCAATATATTAAATACTCTCTATGTACAGACTCAATTGCTTGCTCCGATCATACTACAAGTCCATCTCCTTCCAAACTGTCTAAGCCTTTTATAAGATGATTAAATAAAATATGAATTTTGAGAGTTTCGGAAAGCTCAGTGGCTTTAAAAACTTTTTGGAGGTGCATTAATAGGTTTTTAAGCCCATGTTGATCAGTGATTGTAGATGAAAAACAATGTGCAACCACCTTATCCATTGCTTTCAGGGATTCTAGAAAAGGTGTAATTTTAATAATAATAATAATAATAATAATAATACTTTATTGGTGTCATTACAAAAAAAATATGTTTACACAGGTCAATAAAATCACAAATACGTTCAACGATATATAACAATACAATTAAGGTATATGACAATACAATTAAGGTCACTCACTCGTCCGAGAACCCCTTTTGATTGCTGGAACCAAATTTAAAATTTCTTTATCATACAGTTTATCTGCAGCATTTAGCAAACTTTTACAAGCATTTCCTTCAAATAGCTCGCCATGATAATTCTTTGAAACAATATTAATTTTTTTTGGCCAAATAAAAGCCACATCTTTTCCCAATAGTGGCACCAACCCCTTAAAAAACAAATGGTTCACAAATCCTTGCAAAATGTGTAGTTCTGGTATCACACATTTTTCCAACACCGAAACGTCGCCTTCATCATCAAATATTGAATGATTTACTACACTAAAGCAGTCTTTCGCGTATTTCCTATTTTTTTCGAATAGATAAAACTTTTCATAATGCAATTTTATGTCTCCGTAAGTTCTTAAAGTACTAGCTTCATTTCCAACTGAATGTTTTAGTTTCACGTAGCAGTAGGGACACGGAAATGTAGAAGATGCGGTTTGCAATCCATTAACAATTAATGTAACTTGAGGTCCGAAACAAATTTGAACGAAATATTGTTAATTTTTATAACTGAAAATAGTAATTTTAAATTTTCAAATGTTTCTTTGATTTCAGGTACAATACAAAGAATCATAATTTTTTTGACGCCCGTAAACTTAAACCATTTTGAAATTTTACCACCTTCACTATAAACAGATCTTCCTACTTTAGTTTCATCTTCACTTTGAAACACAGAAAGACATATTAAAAAAAAGCCTTGTCCACCGTCAGCCATGACCTTAATTTTTGGACTTCCTATCAACTGTCTGTGCGTAATTACAGCCTCTAGAATACTTTCTGCATCAGCATATATCACTTTCCTTTTCTGCTTTTCTTTACAGTCACTTACGTCAAACTCTAACTCAGCACATTTATAAAATGGTTCTAAAGTTTTGGACTCTTCGCGTAATTTCTCTCTAAAATTGGAAGAAACGGACTTTTTGCCGGCGCAGGTCCTAACAAAATTTGTAACTAACTCCATTTTATTATTCGATAAGCATGTTGTCTTTTGAAATTGACTAAGCTTTTCGTAACTAAACTTTATTTCCTTCTGGGCATGAGGTGGTGGGTTTATAGCAATTCTAGAAGGTCTGCCCAGTGTTGCTAGTCTAATACTTGATTGGTTATTAGTTTCAACATATTCATGTATTATTTTGCTTACAATCTGTTGTTTCTGGTTTTTCGGCACTGCTTGTACAAGGTCCGAAACGTTATGTGCAATATTAGATAAATGACAATATTGTTTTTTTCCCTTTCCAATTTCTTACAAGCATGTTGCGCATATATTTTTTTTTCCTTTAGTACAACATCTTTACTAAGAACTCTACTGTTTCCCCTTCCGGAAAAAACTTTTTTGTGGCCTTTTCTACGTGCTTCGCTGCAAATCAAGCATGTGCAGGGTTTTCCGCTTCGCAAAGTTTTTCTTAAATCAAGTTTTTTGGAATTCCGGCATTGGTAGTAAGGGTCTACGAAATACACCACCTTTTTGTCTATCCTAAAATATAACCCAAAATATGTAAAACTTTTTTCTTATTAAAACGTTTAAAAATCGTGTATAAAAAGAAAGAAATTTTGAAGAAAAATTGCAAACTTCCGAGAATCACTACAGATATATTGTTTGATTAATGCACAACAACTCTTAGAAATTTTAAATTTAAAAGGCTTAGATTTTCCAAACTTAATTTTAAGGCCACAAGCAGCACAAACTTTGTATCTGTTGTTGGAATGATTCGTATTTTTTAAAGTTTAAATAAAACTGCTTGTTTGACGCGAAACATTTATTTTTTATTACCACGCATCGCCTACATGGTTTTTGTTTCACCATAGCCTGATTTTTCTTCCATATGGTTATAACCATTACGATGTTTTTATGGAAAAAACTGAAATATTTATCTGTTAATCAACAAAAATATAATTTTTGAGGCAAAAAAAAACAAAAAATCTATTTTTCTCGTGAAAACGATCAGCTGAGATTTACTTTTTTATCTTTTTATAAAGAGGAAACAATTCTTAACAAAATCCTATAGTCAGATTTGGGAGTCACTTTTATGACCGTTTATCGATGTTGAGGGACAGTGTGTCCTTTTAATTAAAAATTTAAATTAACTTTCCGAAATTTTTTTTTTTTACTATTAAAACATCATAAAGTCTCTGTTAACAAACTCAATGTTTTGAGTTTTGTCCGCTTCAGATCTCGAGTAGAATCCAACTTTTCTTAAATTATTAAAGAACTCTTTTTCCAAATTTACTGGCATCTTGAATTCTAATGGTAATTGGCCCAGAAGGTTTTTTTGGGAGTGGCTCAATTGTATCCTTCCGGAAGGTAGCGCCCTCTACGCGTCGACCTTCGCTTAAAACAGCACAAAAACACGACTTGGCCTGATGACATAAATAACTATTATTATTAAAACAACAATAATTATTTATATACAAAACAGAAAAACTTTGGACACCTTTGTCAAAACCGTCAGAATTATTAAAATTTTGACATTTTCATAAATATCATCAAAATTCAAATTTTATACCAAAAATTAATTAATTGAAACTACAAAATGAGTTACATAGGCCGTGTTCTAATTTACGGAGGTCGCGGAGCTTTGGGATCAAAATGCGTATCCCATTTCAAGACCAATGATTTTTGGGTTGGTTGTGTAGACGTTGAAGAAAACACAGAAGCCGACTTAAGTATAGTGATTAACACAAATGATCCTTTAAAACAACAAGAAGGAATAATTTTGGGCAGTATCAAATCCGTTTTGCATGACTGCAAGTTAGATGGTGTTTTCTGTGTGGCCGGCGGATGGGTCGCTGGAGGATTGGAAAGAGATTTTGTGAGAACTACCGATTTAATGTGGAAACTTAATGTTTGCCCATCAATAATCTCTACGTCCATAGCTTCGAAATACTTAAAAGAAAACGGAATTTTAATGCTTACAGGTTCCAAAGCAGGTTTGGAACCAAGCCACAAATTACTCCCATACGGCCTATCCAAAAATACGGTTCACTATTTGGCAAAATCTCTAGTTGATGACCATAACAGTCTCCCCATGGGTACCACAGTTGTAGCTCTAGTTCCTGACATTTTGGACACTCCTTTTAACAGAGAATGTATGCCGCATGCAGATCGGGCCAGTTGGACTCCATTGGACTTTTTGGCAGATTTGTTCTTCAGGTGGTCCATTGGAGAGGAGAAGCCTTTATCCGGACTGGTGCAGTTGATTACTAGAAAATCCAAAACTGAACTGAAAGTTTTAACTTCGCCAAATAGCAGTTGCAGGAGGATTGGAAACGTATCTTTTATGGAAGTTCCGGAGTTGCATTAAGCCTTTGATGCAATTTAATGTACTATTTAATAAACTCCTATTCAACTTTGCTTTATTATACACATATATGTGTATAATATAATATACTATATAGTAATTACCACAGACCTACCAATTTATTGGAAAGAAATCTTGAAAAAAATAAAATATTGTACAGGGTGTCCCGAGAATGTTATTTTATTATTTAATTACAAAAAATAGTTTTTTAGTTTATAGTTTTTTTGTATGTTTTAAGATTTTTTATTTTAAAACAATTTTAATATTGTTTCATATCTAAAAAGATAAAATTACACTGAAGAAATGCTATTCCCGTGAGCAAACCTAGCGCCCTAGGCAAATTTAGTTATTAATGTCATTAATTACTAAATTAAAAAACAACTTTACTCTGTGAATATGATCTAATACAAAGAGCTCATTCCAGGACCGTCCCTAGGATACTTAGTATATTTAATTTCGCACCCCGCAGAGGTTTTTCTGACGCCCCCCTACCGCAGGGTCTGAGATTAAATTTGCTGCCCAACATAATATATGGGTTTTCATTTTAAACCGTAAATAAAGTACCTCAAAAATTTAGGGGGGGGGTCAGACTTTGTTATTAGTTCATACATATAACGTCAGTGAAAACCTTAAGGGATTGTACCGAAACGTCGTTCTTTTAAAAACCGACAACACGGAGCAGATCCCGGAAAACCATCAATACATATAACGCCCGCAGAAACCTCAACTAGAACATTGATCTCGTTAATTTTCGTGGCGTTTTTGTGGTTGTAATAGCTATTACTAGCTAGCTAGTTTCCATGTAGTTGGTAGTCTCTGTGTATCGTCTCTTGTGTTGAGGTTTCATGGTCCTGTCTTCGATGCTAGCCAATACCCTTGTTTTTTCAAAGTCAATTTCATGGTAAGTTTTTCGGACCTTTCAGCTAAGGAAGATGTTTTTTATTGCTTCAAGACTGCCTTCTTCGCGTCTAACGTTGATAGGTCTATTTTTCTGTACCACGTACAGTGGCGTAGCGACAGTACCGCGAACGCCCGCCAAGCGGGGGGCCCTAACCTGGTAGGGGGCCCGGCCGATACTTGCCCCAAAACATTAAAATACTTATTTATATCTTACTTATACTAAAAATTAAATAATAATGAATGATTAATTAAAAATATCATAATTTACTAAAATGTAGGTAGGTACTTGATATTATTGGCCTACCATCACAACATAAATGTTAAACATCTAATGGAACCTTTTGATGAATTTTAAAAATCGCGCTTATTTAACAATTGACAGCGGGTTTACGCAGGAAGCAGATATTTTATCCTTAACCAACGTCCCGAGTCCGCCCGCTTGCCGAGTCCCGCTGCAGCGCGCTGTCACACTGTAAATCGGTATTATTTTTTCGAGCGATAGGACTTTAACAATAAGCTCGGTAGCTCGATGGAAGGGCGCCTGCTTTGCATGCGAGAGATACGGGGTTCGATTCTTGGTGCCTCTACAACTTTTTTTAATTTTTTTTTAAAGAAATTATATACCGAAATAATACAATGTGGCCTTAAAAGCATTTATATTTAATTTTACATTAGGTAATATTTTAATTTATTTACCTTTCCTCATAATAATTTTGCAACAGTTATATAATATAAAATGTAATTAAATGAATATTCCTTCGTTGAAAAATTTGTACTCAATGGGGCGGGGGGGGTGCCAATGGGGCGGGGTCGGTTGGGTTGGGTTGTTGGGTTTGGGTTGGTTTCGAAGCTTCGCAATTTTTCTGTACCTAGACGTTAGTCACTGAGTTCGCAAGCGCGAGATGACTCGGTAAAGCAGCGGGACTCGGCAAGCGGGCGGACTCGGGACGTTGGTTAAGGAAAAAATATCTGCACGCAGGAACGATTCAGAACTTGGAAACATGCGCCTAACTCTAAACAGATATGCGCATTTAGTTATGCGTATTATTCTGACAGTTCTGAAGCGTTCTCTTTGCGAACCCCTAAAATTTTGACGATTGTGATTCATAAGTTTTTAGTTTGTTTTTGTTTTATATTCGTATTGGTTTAAGTAGGTTCTTATTTGCAGTGATGTAATGTATCGAGATACATGTATCTAGATACTGGATCTAGATACATTTTATGTACCTAGATACGTATCGAGATACTTAAAAAAATCAGGATCTACTTTAGTATCTAGATCCTTTTGAAAGTATCTAGATCCTTAGATACAAGATACATTTTATTTTACCCAACCTGATTGCAACTCCACACCGTGTGGGCCACAAATAATAAAAAGATATTTTATTTCTTTTTCCCTTCAACCCACTTTGGAGTGCGAAGTGCATAAAGTAACTCTTAGGCACTAGTGAGTAAAGTTAAACAAAAGCGCTGTAGGTTACCTATAGTTGGCTTTTCTTCGTTCTGATAATTTTGAATTTGTACTACAAATTTTGTAGTAAGCTTTCATATGGCGAGTAAATATAAAATTTATTTCCATTTTTCATGGATATTTCGTCAATTTTATCAAAACAGTTTTATTTTATAGTTAACACGCTTGTTTATAAGGTCCAAAAAATTTTTTTTGTCATTTAATTTTTAAGTTTTTTTAACATAGTATCTAGAAGTAACTTAGATACTTTTTGAATGTATCTGTATCTGTACCCATGTAAGTATTTCTTTTATTATTGGTTAGTTTAATATATTATAGAGAGTTTAATATACATGTATAGAGTTACTGAGTAAATATTATTAACTAAATATACTGTAAGGGTCCTGTAGTATATAAACTTTTAAATTCAAATTTGGCGCTATTTTAACTAAGGAAAATTTAAATAATCCACTAAAAAAATAATATTATAGTTTTAAGATATTTTATGTTTTAAAAAACTATTGAGTCTTAAAATTCCACTTCTTTGTATCTGAACGTAGAAATATTATGAAGACTTGTTTATGTAACACATTCTTGCTTAAGTGGCATAGAGTTTAAAAGCGAGATTAGGAAATATCATAGACAGAGGGTTTTTGCTCGCCCTTCGAGATACTCCTGTTAAACCGTTTGTGAAATATATTAAGTATAATATAGTTATAGTTTTTGTGATTGTTACCGATTTTCTGCTATATCTACTTAGGTATGTACAGTTACGGAAAGAAGTAATGTCCATTTGAATGCTCCATTGTAATTGTTCGGAGGCATTCGGAAATGGTCAACATCTGCCTGTTAGGGTTTGTTTAAAAACATGTCTATATTTAGAATTTACTACCTGCTCGTATTGAATTAATTATTTTGGGTATTTTACATATTTAACAGTATTTTTATTAAATCGTTATTTTTTGATATATTTTTGTATAGATTTATAAACATTTATTCTATGAAAAAACTTTTAATAAGAACTTTTTAGGCTATAATAGTATATTATGTATCAAGTTTTATAAACGCCATTTTAGTTACGAGTTTAATTAATCACGAGCGAAGCTTGCGAGCGAGTGTTTAATAAAAACGAGTGTCTAGAGAAGTTTATAAACGAGTTGCATACTATACTTTATCTACGACGAACACAAAACAGAATTTAAAGCCAATTTTATTTGTTAAAATTTTGACATTTGCCAACTGTCACCCGAATTTAACCTCACTTTTTCCCAATTTATAATAAAGCTAACTTCAGCCCGTGACGTAAAATGTCGAAAAGCCACTGTTGTTAACTTCCCGTCAATAAAACGCCATAAAGTGACAGCTCGTCAATGTAGGAGTAGATAAATAATATTATCAAGTTGTAGTTTTTTAAAACTTACTTTACATTTTTCAGAACTATAGTTCATTGATATATCAATGATTCAATACACTATTTTAGGAGTAAAAACACATTTTATTATTTGTTGCACTTTTATGTGTTAAAATTAAAAACAAATATTTAAAATTTTTATATTTGTATTATAATATACTAGGATTTATCAAAAAATGTTTAATATAATTATAATATAAAAGTTAACATACCTATAAAACTATAACATACATATAAAAACTATAAAACATATAAACATAAATAGCTATAAAATTATAAAATATATACTTATTATATAAATATATAAATATTATAAAACAATAAAATATATATTATATATTTCTTTATATTTATTTATTGCTCTTTTATTATATGTAGGTTAATGTGTAAAAAATTATAAAATATTTATTCTTTAAAGTTATAATAATATACGCCGGCGCCGTTAAAATTATCATCGGCGCACACGTCGCGTATTTAGGCATAATTAGAGGTATAAGTTAATACTTGCCGAAAGGGCTAATCCTCATCCGGCTTAATAAGAAAAGATTACAATACCTATAGATGTATAAAAAGAAAATAACTTAAATACAAAAAACTTAAATTATGTCATAAAAGTAGGTAATACATTTTACAGACCAAAGTTCTTCCGGACTAAAATGTTAAAAAGTATTTTAATTTAATTTCATATTAATATTTTAAACGTAGGACAAATTATTAATTATTTGATAAAAAATATTATATAATTATTAGACTTATACCAAAAATGGTCCTGTTAAAATGTAAGCTCTTAATATTACATTTACAGGTCCCTCATCGGGAATTTTTATTTCCCATTAAAATAATATGAGATTTTTTAAAATACTTTAAAATTTTATAACTCGTAAACGGATTAGTAAAACTAAAACAAATTTTGGTAGGGCTCTTTTAAAAGGTATTCAAGGTAAAAGTTGAATTTATAGAAATTTTCAAGATTTTTAAACTTTTTCAGCAAAACAAAATTTATGGTAAAATTTAGTAGGACCCTTTTTTAGGAAAATATTATCTAAAACCATAAGCAAAGAAATCTGCCTTTTTATTTAAAAAGAAATGGTAAATAATTACAGTAATAATTATAGTTGAAGCATGGCATTCCCAATGGGTTTGGACCCAATTTGGTCAAATATTATAATATTTTTTTTGTCGTTTTGCATGGCACATAGACTATTTTTAAATGATAATATAATTATATTATCATTTAAAAATAGTCTATGTGCCATGCAAAACGACAAAAAAAATATTTTCCATATTATTTTTGTATTTTAAAGATGTATGGATTTTCATTGATTTCTCACAAT